TGAATGGACAATCGAATGACACAAATTCTGGACAAAAAAAGATTCAATTATGGATATAATAAAACAAGGTCTTCGATGCTAAGATATCTGTATTCATTTGAATGGATCTACAAAATAAATTTTCGTTTTAATGGTGAATGTGTGTCAATTCCATGGCCACAATTACTTTCCAGAAAACATATTCATGAACATCTTAGAATTTCCACCGACGGTACTTCTCTCTAACCATTACACTTTCTTCAGGAGAATTTTGATGTTCTACCGTAAATTTGAAAATAACCAGCTGTCGCTGCACAGTCCATCGGGAGACATGTCGATCGCGTTGTTCGAATAGTTTCTCGGCTATTTCTCTCGCTGTGATGTCCTTTTGTCGACGAATCCATTGGCCAATGGTTTTACTATCGGACATTGTTAGTCTGAGGGGTCGATCACTTCGCGGCCGATCTCCAGTCTCTCCTTGTTCTTTGATCTTGACAATATTATATCGAACAGTTCGAATGGGGATCTTCGTTGAACGAGCGATATATGAGGCAGATCGATGACCGTTGTTCCAGCAGTGTAAACTGGCTGAACGTCTGGTTTCGAACGATGGAGAATAACGCATCCGACGCATTCGCTTTGCACTCACAGATGTTATTCATGATTTGTACTCGATAGACAGTAGATATAGACCTTGTCCTCTTTTCTGGATATTTCCCGAGAAATCATGTTGGAAACTTCCCGAGATATAAAATAGCTAGAATGACTCATATATGCGGCAAAGGCTACTGCACTCTACTGTATCATCAGCGCTTGCCGTTCAAATATGGTCATCAAATTTATATTCAATGGTAGCGATGCAAAGGCACTCGTCTATTACGGGTCTACGACAATTGGTCGAATGAGAATTGGTCGAGCGACAGTTGGGCACCGACAATTGGGCGAAGAACTAATTGGTCGCGACGATAATTGGTCGTGTTCTCATGTTGGTCGAAAGCTGATCAATTAGTCGATGAGAGAGAAAGAGCGAACTTTCTACGGTCTACGTTGATTGATCGACACAGTCTGAAACAGGGTCTAAGTTTCATCTTCTCAAACCATTCGCAAGATCCTTGATTCGATTTGACCAATAAAGAACTAAAATCCTCATGAAAAGTTGATCCAATTTTTCAAGAAATGCTGGAGTATCTTTAACCCTAGTACTCCCAAGCGTATTCTTAGCGATAAAAATCGAATACATTTTGAGAAGGATATTTTTTTCTTTTCAACAAGTATGTGATTGAAACTGAATTATTTCTAAGCATCAGTCAATGAGAAATGACTAAAGTAATAAATTTTGTTTTGCTTGTATTTGATGGAATTGAGAACCAGATCATCCCGGATCTGGAACTAAAGGAAGTTTCCTTGGTAAAATCTTTATCCAGATCGATTTCCAGGCCATCAATTTCCAGGAGATCAATTTCACTCTCATCTTCCGATGTTTGACTTTGAGCATCATGTGTTTCCGAACCATTTTCCCTATCCACATCAGAACAATTTTCATTATTTTCTTCTTCAAACCAATTTCCTTCTTCCATCATTTTATATAATGATTCTCTATGTTTTTGTTCGTATTATATACGAATTCGAAAGAAAGAATGGAAAATTCAGAAATAAAATGACGTAAGAAGAACGCCATAGAACATAATTGAGTCATGGAAGAGGGTATGTCACTGACGTCATGAAAAGAAATCAAGAATAGGAATAGAAAATGTTTGATTTATTCATAAATACAGAAGAGAAGAAAGGAAAGGAAAATACGTGCATAGCAGAATGGTATTCTATCAAACATGTATTTCTTTCATATGAGACAATTTTCTATTATTCACCCTGTCTTTCATACTTCCATCCACGAAATAAAAAGATTTTTACAGTATTTTCTTGCTTTTCAAAAACAGGGTCCATTCGGATCCTGGTTGGTAGTTCTACGGTTAATGTCAAATACTAATAATTATGGAATACGTATTCCGCACTTATTTTATATGAACAAAAAAAATGTTAAAATATGTTGATATCTCTAATGCAAATGACAGGTGTTATAAATACCCATGACAACATTTACACAATGTAGGAACATTTAATTTAAACCGAATCGAATAAAAAAAAGTTTCTTAGCAACATCTCATTCAGTGAGTAGCCGCAATTCGCATTGGAATAGTGTCGTTCATATTAGCGATTTGGTTCTGTTGTCCTCTCTTTGTAAAAATTTGTTTAAGTTGAG